AGACCGAGCGGCGTCAGCCACTGCGGCTAGCACTGGGCGGTGGGCGTCTGGCGTCCGAGGACAGCCATCGTGAAAAATCCCTCCAAAAGTCTTTTAAAACTACTTCGTGCCGTTCAGAAGTGGCACTGCGGCGCGCGTTTAACTTTGATAATCTTCAGTTTATCCTCTGAAGGGATTAACAGCGAAAGCATCACGAAAATAGATATTCTACCTTTACTCGTCAAGTTCTACCGTCAAATGCTAGTACCGGTTCGTGACAGTGTGAAAGCTAATTCATTTCAGCCATAACTCCAACCATTGCGCAGGCGGCACATACTCCTGGAACACTTTCTGAGCGTTCTAATTGACATCAAAAGCGCTCAAAGGCACTTTCCTCAGAAACGTTGTCGTTTTCGCCCGCCCGTTCGCCACCGCCTAGTATTAATACGCGCCCGGGTGGCCGGTTGGATATCCTTCGCTCGGATGGGGGGGGGGGGCGGGGGTCAATTTGACCCCTGATATCTTAGGAAATAACTGAGCTAGAAGTACCAAATTCACAGAATGTGTTGACCTATACGTGAACTCACTTTGGTTGAAGGTTAATGTTCCTTGGTTTTGACCTTCGGGTCAAATAAGGCCATACAAGGCGAAACTCCGGATTGATTTCCAAGTTTCCAACTAGGCTCCAGTCCCATAACTTGGAGAAGAATGTGGATCACATCCGGGGAGAAACCTATTACGTTACCTCATTTTTCGCCGCATAGCCCTCACCCTTAACAAATTTTGCGAAACTACGCCCCTAATTTATACTTATCCTCTACACCATTCAACGACCACGTCTCCCTATTGAAGAAGTTCTCCCTAAGAAGTTTATCTCCCTATCTCCCTATCTCCCTATCTCCCTATCTCCCTATCTCCCTATCTCCCTATCTCCCTATCTCCCTATCCAAGAATCGTCGTGATATCCTTTCTGCGATGAAAATCCGAAAAGACGTCGACACTTTTGGCAGGGAGCAACAGTATGCTGATGTGACCAGAACTCAGCTTCGCGGTTCGATAATTTAGTGGTTTTCGACCCTGTCAACGCTGGGATTCACGACGTTTTCATCAGCTCAGGCGATTTAGTGTGGCAAGCTGCCACATCGATTTGGCCGGAGGTGACGCAATTTCTGGCTGGGAGCCAGGCTCGAACCCCACACTGGATTGTTGTTAAGCGGGCGTTCTCCCGACTCAGGTTCACTGCCTCCGGTGCTTGAGTCAAATGACATTTGCGGATTTCATATTTTGGGTGAAAGTTTGGTGACGCTAGGCTGAGTCAAAAGTCATCAAATTTCAAGAATTCCGAATTCTTGCTTGCAGACAACTCAGATCTCGAAACTTATTGCTCAGATCGTCCCCAAGCCTTCACAATTCGATACGAGATGTTTGCAGTTGTGATGTATGCCATGGAGCAATTCGCTATATTTTTGTAGTGCGCAAGCGCGTGGGCATTTTTGTAACTTATTTTGTGGTCATGCACATGACAGCAATAACATTTCTACCTGTTTTGCGCGCAAAGACGAGGGCATCGTTTTCTTTTTGGGGCGGAAAGGCACACAAACTGTACACTGTACAACGCGTGTTCAGTTTTTGGCACATTTGGGACAGTCGTAATCGTCATCACGCATGAATACGGCTACGCACGACACGCTCGGTGAAGCTCAAGGCTTCCGTTGACCAAAGTAAAGGTTTTCGTCGACCAAAGTAGTGCCGTCTTTTCTGTCACTGTTTCCCACCGTTTGCTTATGCGCCTTGTACCTCGGTGACATGCTGTACACAGAGTGAAGAAAGCAAGTCCCGAGATGGAGTATGGTCATCGATCTGTCACAGCAGGACACTGACCAAGCCGGTCCGTCTCTGGCAGGTCCATCGAGCCTTCCCTCACAGTCGGGCACGTCAAATCCAGGGGTGTATCCAGGATTTCGTCAAGGTGGGGGGGGGGGGGGGAGGGGGGACGCGCAAGATCGTGTGGACCATGGAGTTTGCGGCCCCGTCCCCCCGAAAAAAACGCATTTTGGCCATTACATTTTAATGTTATTATGTATGTTTTATACGGGAGCCCGTCCTGGTGTGCGCAGCCCTAAAAACTAGTCTTTCTTCGCATGCAAATACATGAAGCCTGCTCATTTTCTCCAGATTATGTGCAATCCTGTCAGTTAAAGACTAAGTATGTCGGAGAAAACATGGCAGAATTCACTTTAACTGGCTGCTAAATGCCATACAAATCAAGCACGAGTTTGACTTCTAGCTTACTTATGGCTAGCCCGCGAGTCGATGTTAACACCTGATGGCTGATAAATAAGGCAGCTTTTGTTGTTTCGACTGTTATGAAGGAGCACACAATATCCCAGCATTCAAAAGGTATCAAGAACGGGATGCACAGCTATAGTAAGTGTCGCAAATCCAATAACCCATGGAAATGACGTGCGCGAAGCCGGCGGCGTGTAAAATTAGGTTTGACAATCACGCGTAAAAATCCATCGGCGTGTATCCGACTGCTGCACTAAGGCCAAGGCGTCAAGGCAAAATCGTCATTCTGTGATCTCGGTCTTGTGTGCATGAAGCAATGTAGTCAACCCGTACACACGAATAGGCGGAAGGCCCTGGCGCTCGCAGGCACACGTGGGGCTTTCGGCAACATCCTTCATTCCTTTTCACTTGGATCCGTCTGACTTCATCGTAAGAGCCCACGACCAATGTGGAGTTCTCCGGAGCTATCAAGAGTTCCCTGGCCGATTACGATTTAGATCTAGGCGGTGGTGGCATGGCTAGGGTGTTCGTCTCTGGACCTGTCGGTCTGGGTTTCGTCGCGCCACGCCATCGCCCCCCCCCCCCCCCTCCCGGTCACCCCTTCCACTCCACCACTCGCGGCTACGCCACCTACCCACCCCTTCCCCAGCCACGCCACCACCGCATTCCACATGGTACCTGATAAGACATCCGTTTCGAAATGTCTCTGACAGTTTGTGAGACGAAGAACGCAATCATTATTATGAAGATTTATGTCCCCGTTAACGGTGTAGGCCGTCATGTTATATGGGAAAACCCAAGGCCAATAAGGACGGTACCTGAGCGTGCAAGGGCGCCGCGGTGGGCCAACAAAGAGGCTCGCGTCAACAGTGAAGGGTCCTCAGAGCAAGCGAGAAGAACCTTAGACCGATACAGTGGGACCCTTGAACGATCGGGAGCCCCCCGGCAGGCTAACAAAGGGCTCGGTCAGAGCTTAGGGCCCTCTGAGTAAAGGGGAATACCCAAGGCCATTGTACACGCATTGATGCGCTGTGCCCTCCACACTGGGTCTTGAGTACTTCCCATGTGAATGAGGAGCCCTGCGCTCTTGTCAGGTGCCTATCTGATAACCTGCTCGGGCACGTTCGATTGTTCGGGCTCTCTACATTGGGTCTTGGGTACGTACTATTGGAATATGTGTGTGGGGGGGGGGGGGGGCATGCGCACTTGTCGAGGGTCCCCTCTGTTTGTCTTTGAAGAGTCCATGAGGAGACAAAGCTCATTCTTCGCTGATTAAGGTGCTGACTGGGGAAAATTTTGGGGTTTGCTGCGCTGTCCAGGGGCCTTACGCTGTTGCCCGGGCCCTATGTGTCCACTTACCGGGTTAATCTGATCGCTAAGGAGCCTTCCACATCACCCTTGATCTCTGTATTTTCTCGTAGGGCTTTATGCTGCTGTTGGGGAATTATCTGCTTACATGTCGGGGCACTCTTGATTAATCAGGTTCTTCTCCTCCACGGATTCTTCTCATTCGCCCAAAAGGCTCAATACGTTTTTTCCGGGGCCTCGTATGTCAGGGTACACTCCGTTTCTCAGGGGCCCCTCATATTGGTGTCGAGTTCTTTCTGCTTGCTCAGAGGGCCCTGTCCTATTGCTGGGGCTTGTGTAAGGCAAGGGACCGAGCCGCGTGATGCTCAGCGGCCCACTTCTTTGCTTTAGGGCTCTTTCCCTTTGATCTCATCCGCGGAGGACCTTTCATTCCTATTGGGACCCTTTCTGTTGACCTGTCCGGGCACTCTTGCTGGCGCAGGGGCATTAGTTCATTGAACTGCTCTTCGGTAGTTTTCCTGTGCTCAAAGGGACCTGCGCTTTGTCCGGGGTCATGTCAGCCTGCTGAGGCACTGTCTATCGTGAAAGGGCCCACGACGTTGTCCTTAGTTTCTTCTTGCTCTGAGGACCCTATGCTTGTTGACGGGAGCCTGTGTTGGTCTCCGCGGCACCCATGATCGCTCAGATTCCGTCCCTATTGGCCTTGGTTCGATAGCCTTAGAGCAGCAGTCGGGTATGCGCAGACAAATTTTTACGCGCAATTGTCGAACGTAATTTTGGGTGCCGCCGACGTCTTATGCGTCATTTCCCTTGATCGTTGAATGTGTGACGCTTATCATATTTTTGCATCACGTTCTTAATACATTTTGATTGCTAGGATACTTGGTACTCTTTTAAAAGAGATGAAAAACTGCATTAATAGTCAGTCATCAGCTGATCACATCGACCAGTCGGCTGGTCGTAAATAAGCTAGCAGTGGAGTTCGTGATTGATTTTGATGGTACTTGGAAGCCAACGGTAGTTTATTTTGCCTGTTTTTCGGAAATACGGAGCCTTAAATCAGGTTTGGGAATCAATCAATCAGGCATCAGGTATGTCGCATCCAATGGTGAGGACTTCGCAGCGATCAGCACAGTAGATTCTGAGATGTGAGTTGCCTGCTTTCGCATGTCAAAATTTTACTTTGCGTTTTTGAGGTACCAGACCTTACGTCAGGTCTCAATATTACCATCCCATTACTCACCTCAATGCACTGAATCGGTCGGTGAAAGCTTCAAAGCGATAGGATGAGCTGTTTCGGAGAACGAGCGTGTCTACCTCATAGGTCGGTTTTTAGTCCCTCCCCTTCGCGTGTTGCCTAGCAACACCCCTCTACACAATCAGCTGACCGTGGCGCTCGACTGTGATATCGGGTGGCAGGGAGGGGCTGGTCGGTGCTGGGTCGTTCTGAGTGCGATGATCGGTACCTTCCCACAACGTTACTTTGTGTGTACTTGACAAACAAGTATTTTGTTTGTGTCTTGTGATTTCACTCGAGCTGCAGCATTTCATCTGGTTGGTCACTTGCAGACCTGTGTATGACAAGATGGTCGTCAAGAAACAAGCAGAAGTTAAACTTCTTTGGTTGGTGCCGTACTTTCTGCAGTAGGAGGAAGTTGTACTTCCTTAGCTGCATGCTGTTAAGGTGCCAAAGGATGACCAATCCTGGTGTCATCGGACATCCACGAAAGTGTCGATTTGTGTAGATGGTTGTGGGGTCTGACAAGGGTCCTGCTCCCCAACTGTTTCTCAGCGGATTTAGCCCACGTTACGTTCACAACGAGCAATTTTGCGTATATTATTTCAAATTATCATTCATCAGGAAGCTCTTTATTCCAGCAAAGCGTATTTATAAGCAGTATTTAACAGGGAAGGGAGGGGGCAAGAGTGCGGAGACCCTCGCCTGCCCCCCCCTCCCCCCCCTCTCCCAGCTTCCCGAAAATTTAACTCTGCGTACGAGCGTTGATTAAGAAGAAATTATGGAAAAGTATGGTACCCCAGCTTAAAGCTTTCACTGACCCTTGGTAGTAGCAATGACTCAAATTATGGCGAGTGGAGGTATTCTTCGTACATTTTTTTCGTTAACACCTGTAATATTGCAACAGAAAAAATCGGCCCGAACGAACAGGGAGGGGGGGGGGGCACAATTGACCATGGACTTCATAGAAAAATACAAACATACATCTCTGTGTGTCCATGCACTGCTGTTCATCCCGTATATATGTTTTTAGGGTTCTTTTTAGCAATAAGATATTTGTATTTGTTACATTTTAAACGATTGTTCGCCGCTCGTTAATTGGAGTTTTAGGGCGCGCCGACTGCTGAGGTCATTTTGCGCCCATATTGTTCGCCACTCGTTGCCTGTTATCATTTTGTCGATTTTCATCTTCATCTCAGTGCTGGACCATTTAGTGGATGCAGATAAATTATATATATATATATATATATATATATATATATATATATATATATATATATGTACATATTAATGCGGCGTACGGCACACCGATTGTCTGTGTCTGCCGCGCAGGATGATGCTGCGTGGCCGGAAGCTGCACGTGGTCTGCTTGCTGGCGCTGCTCAGCGTTCTGCTGCTGGCCGTGTACCAGGTGCGGCCGCAGCTGTACGTCTACAGCACCGAACCGCTTTCGACCGACGGCGTGCCAGAGATGCGGATGGCGCCGATCCTGGCCTGCCCACCGGTGCTGGTCGAGTCGGTGCAGCGGCCTCGGCCGGCGACCGCGTCCGCCCTGCAGCGGGTGTACGTCATCACGCCCACCTACCCGCGCGCCGTCCAGGTGCCCGAGATGACGCGCCTGGCGCAGACCCTCATGCTGACCTCCAACGTGTTCTGGGTGGTGACCGAGGACGCGCCGGTGCTCACGCCGGCCATCACTGAGATCCTGCAGCGCTCCGGACTGCCGCACGTCCATCTTCTCGGTGAGTGGTAAACGGCTGCGGGGAGCGCTGAGAGTCCGGGACCTGGGTCCTCACCAGCGGGGACAGCTGATGAAGGGTGTGCCAGGTATGGCGCCACTCTGGCTTGGAAGAGATTTTCGACTTGTTATTCACCGATTGGCTTCTTTCCCCTCTGAGAACACATGCCGCACCTACGAAGCACAGCTGAATAAAAAGGGAAGGTAGTTAATCTTGTACGACTGCAGCTGCCTGCCCGACCAGTGTGTCTTGCATCGCAGCTGTTTGCAATGTAATACGACGGGTGACGTATGCTCAGACATATGTCAGTGGCGGTATGAAAACAAGCTTGCTCCGCGCATTGCTGCCGTAACAGCTTGAAACAGGCCACAGCAGCCAGAGCCCAACGTCAGGTGTAGAACTCCCTGAACTTGAATGCCAGTGCTGCATTCTAAGAAGACTTGTTTGGCATTGTTCGTGGCACGAATGCATTTGCTCAATCAGCAACGCTAGCTAGCGCAATCACTCCAACAGCTGTAGCTTTTGTTGTCGCCGACGGTCCGGGCCAAAGACCAGCAGCCGTTTTCAGTGTACTCCGTTTAAATTGGTTTGGTTGTTTTGTGATTGCCTACATAGGTGACACTCTTCTCTGAGGGGACATCACCACTCTCGAAGCAGATTGTTGTTATAAATGACTAGCTAATGTGTTGGGCTACCACCGACACTTTATGCGTCCTGCACCATGCCGCGTATTTGCTAAATTGTTCCTCCGCGTCCACACGATATTTTTCGTGACATTTCATGCAAATCAAATTTCTTGAGTCATCAACCCGCAATCTGACGCACTGCCTAAATCGAAGCACGACTTTAGCATTGAAAGCGTACACATGCCTTGAAGCCAGAGGGGGCCTGCACCCAACACAGCGGCTGTCTTTGTCCTCCAACTTTGACCGGATTGGTTTTCCCGAAATTACCTCATGGTCCATTGTGATTGACTTTCTGGGTTTAATGTAGTGGACATAAAACTTTCAAAGAATATCTCTAAAAATGACGTAGCGTGGGGTTTAACGCTGGCAGGAATCCATTCGTCATTCAGATGGGCTGTTCGTGACATCATTAATGCTTTAGATGAAGTTTCTCGCACAGGCGCCAGCGGCGAGGTTCCCATTTGTTTTTTTATTGTTTTTTTAGGCAGACATGATAGCGTGAGGATCGTGAAGATCACTGTTACGACTAAGTTTAAGCTGTCGTAACCGTGGCAACTGCGTGCACGGCAGTCAGCTGTTTTGTTTTAAAATGTTGACCCCCACCTTGGGACTTCTATCGTCGGGTCGCATTTGTTTCGCTGTCGCCAGATGAGGAGTGATGGGCATATTGTAATTGTTTGATTTCACAACTGGAACGTTGCGACAGGTTTGAAGCCCGAAAAATATTCTCGCAAGGACTTTAAGGGTCCAGTTCCAAGAGGCGTATCCAACCGCATGGCGGCGATTGAATGGCTGCGGAAAAACGCCGAAAGGGGGGTCTTCTACTTCGCTGATGACGACAACACTTACGACTACCGCCTATTTGAAGAGGTATGTTGTTTCAGTGCCATGCTTGTGCTCTTATGACGTCCAGAGACTGCTGCCGCTGTAAACCAGGCGCTGTGCCTACCAGCGGACTAGAACTGGTTCAACAATGATCCATTGGGTTCAGTTTGCGCTCACCATGTGGATCGCGTAGTACACCGGTGTTTTTTCTACGCGTATACCTCGGCACACATCGTTCGTCTCATCTGTGACGTTTCTCCGTGCTCGCGTTCCGCCGTGTGCCGTCTGTCGGGTGCTGCCATGCCACCGCCAGGTTGCCGGCGTCCGCTGACCGTCCCGGCGTCTCGCAGCTCGCCAAGACGAAGCGCGCCTCGGCCTTCCCCGTGGGTCTGGTGACCCAGTTCGGCCTGAGCACGCCGGTCGTAGAAAACGGAGTCCTCACTGGCTTCTACGACGGCTGGACAGGCGGTCGCACCTTCCCTATGGACATGGCCGGTTTTGCAGTCAGCGTGGAGGTGCTGCTGCAGGTGGGACATGATGTCGTCAGAATTTCTGCCCTGCATGCAGCATTTGTGCAGCGAGTAACCCCGACATCAAGCATGTTTAGCTTGAGCTAGCTCCAAGCCCTTGATTATGTCAACTATCGCACTGGGATTGGACACTCCTCACTAGGCTGTGAAGTGGCCGCTGAGGCCTTTATCATAGGAAAGGTAGGCCCCCTGAGCCCGTTTCCTGGCCAGCAATTCGCTTAACGTGACGCGGCTTGCATTAAAACGGACGCTGATTGCTGTCACACTGCGATATGGTCCTGTTCCGCAGCATCCAAAGGCGGCCATGCCGTTCAAGGCGGGTTATGAGGAGGACGGTTTCCTGAAATCGCTCGGTCTGAAGAAAGAGGATCTGGAGCCGCTGGCTGACAACTGCACCAAGGTCAGTGTGACGGCTGCGCTATCGGTTACGCGTTATCGCACGGAACTGGGGCGTGCTCTCGGTTTCCGAAATATGAGCGGGAGCCGACGGTGGTGCGCTGGCGTGGCGGACTTGGCGTGCTGGCTCGTCACCTGGGCCACTCACATCTGGAGCTGGCGGCTGCCTGTCGCTGCCCTCGCGTGGCCAGCACCAGGCTCATTGTGGGGCAGCCATGACGCGTCACTTTGACGCGTTATTACGCTGCGTCCGCTCCGCTGACACGCTCCGCTGGCGTCACGCGAGCGGCGGGGAGCGGGCACGAGGGGCGTGGCTCGGCAGCGGGGAGGCGGGGGAGGGGGGGGGGGGGGAGGCTCGGATGATGTATAATGCTCTGCTGAGTGACGGTGCAGGACAGGAAAAGAGCCAGCCGGTAGGTAGTTGCCGTCATGCGGAGAGACGTGTTGTACTGTCGGGACACAAGTGTACATGCATACAAGTGGGGGCATGCGATGGCCCGTGATTTGATATGCATGCTCGGTGTATTTGCCCCATCTGCCTATGTCGCCAGTTGCCGCACGGAGCGCGAAACTTCCGTGGTTGACCATCTTGTGCAACTGACACAATGTAGCCAAGGTGCAAAGGCTGGTATGCTTTCACGCAATACGAGTTCACAAGCGGTGTACCTTTAGTTGAGGCGAACTGAGCGGAGGTTTCAGCGTCGTATAGGTCTCATTTGCTGGGATTTACTGCGTGCCACTGCTGCCTCACGTAGTCAGAAAAATCGATCGCGCGGCAGTGCTGAGTTCTGCCCGCCCTCAGATCCAGGTGGATGGTGTTTGGGAAATGTATAAGCAGGCTTACGTGCATGTTCTATGGTTTCTTGGGCGTGGACGACGGCTAACAAGCTTGGTGATCAGGAAAATTTTGAGTGGTGAATGATGGAGACGGGTAGTGTAGATCGCTCCTACGCCTATGTTTGCGATTTCTACGAAGGAACGGTGAGGTGAATTCCCATCCCAAGTTAAGCGGAGCACTGCTCAGAAGCCCTCAGTTTCCTTTGTCAGTCAGTCCCTATGACGTCATTCAGCATGTTTTCCATGGTAGGATGGCTCTTTGGTTCGTTCGTGCGTCATCGCTTTGAGTTATACTTGCCACCAGCGCAGTATGGTGTCCTTTGGTCAGTTGCTCTAGCCATGCAACCGGCGCCTGCTGTTATCGGTGTTGCGGTGGCGCCTAGCGTGCTGCTACAACGATGACAACAGCGCGGAGGTGCGGGCTATTCAGAACATTGCGAACTGATGCTTGTGCCCGCAAAAATATGCTAAGCCTTTGCAGTCCACAGATGCCCATAAGATATAAGGGTACGGGACCATTTAGTGAATGAGCGTCCCGGGCGTGTAGCGATAACAAGTTTGGCCACCATCGGTGTGCGTATGGCATTACAACGTCCTGTGGTATGACCAGTGGGTCAGGCAGACCAGCGTAAGAGATGAAGTCATCGGCTCGGCACAACTATGGCATTGTCGCTATGGTGGCCCTTGCAGCTGTTGGTGTTAGTGGCGTACCATTCATGGGGTATAAGATAAAAGAACGTGCAAGAAATGGTGCGAATGCATTTTAAGGTGCTGATATCTTTGATTTCGTGCAACATTGACGCCATGACAGGGAAATTTTCTGTCGGTGGCTTGACATGGAAAACGTGGCTTGTGAATGTGTAGCGTTCCGAAGCGGGATCTTACAGCAACGTATAGCAGACAGTATTGCATTACCTTTATCATCACGTTTGTATCGATCTGGCTGGCACTGAACAACTCACGAGAAGGAGCCAGGACGTATGTGAACTCATTCTTGTGGAATCCCGAGGCCTCTAAGTCGTGACTTCTAGGTGTACTGAGGCCTAACAAGGTCAAGCTGGGAGCTATTGTTGGAAGTGCCCGCGAACATCCGCACGCATCCAACGTTAACCTAGGTATATTTTCCCAGCAAAAGGCCAGCCACGGTCATTTCAGGTCAGCGACCGTGGAAAGATCACATTATCAGAGCATTTGGATGTCATTTTGAGATCCGAATTTAGAATCAGCGCCTAGAAATACCCGAGGTGGCAAGTTTCTAAAGCAAATTGGTTGCACAAGGTCATTTTAGATCAGTGAACTCCCCTTTGCCTTCATAGAGTCGACTTGAGAAGTCCGTTACCGTCTTTAAGACCATAGAGTTGGAAATAGCTTCAATAACTAACACACAATCTAGTTTGCTTGTTATAAAGCTGTTAAGTTTTGATGTGGCTGTGACTCAATTAACTGACCAGAGATCGATGCAACTAGTCATAATTTTATTTGCAATCGTTTATTGTCTAAGACGCTGTTTCACAATTATATGACTTCGTCTAGAACTCGTCGTTGCATTAGCTTGAAAGATGCTCTAAGAATGCCTTTCCTGGCAACCGCGGCCAGACTGACACGGTACATGTCAGTGACCTGAAAGATCTGTCCTGTTTTGCACAGCATCGGCTATTCAATTATTTAGGGTTAGTCCAAGTTTGGCGTCGCCCCACCACACTGCTCGAGAATCATGCAAAGAATACCGTGTTGTGTTAAAATTGACCAATATTGATCAGCATCCCCATGCAAACGCTTGCTAAATCGCACATTTTTTGCATGCGAACATAATTGCGAACATGCGAACACAATTGTCTTCCATGGGAGTAATGCCACCATCGGGCGGTGACAAGTCCTAACCACTGTGGCGCAGGAACTACTTGGCTCCAATGGTCGTGCAGCTTCATCGGAATATGCACATAGGCAGCATGTGGTGGATGGGGCTTTCGGCTCACGTGCCATGTACTGACAGCTGATATATATATATATATATATATATATATATATATATATATATATATATATATATATATATACGGATGACCATTGAGGTGGAAGCATCCTCCATGTGTCGATTTCTGCTTGCACGTTTTTGATATCATCATTATGAAAAGCATGCAACGTTTGGTATGGTAATAATGCTGCATGCAACTGATATGCGACCATAAATTGAAGGGTGCTGCGTTGCCCGCGGTGGCCAGTTTGTGTGTCCCGCAATAGCACGGCTCGCAGGATGTGTGTCAATCCGTTGTCTTGATAGCGTGCCTTGGCGCTGCAGGTGCGAAAGTGCCTGTCCCATTTGTCATGTTCCCATGCCATCATATGCCTGTAACGCATTTTGTCTCGCTCGATGTGGCCGTTATCGACGGCAGCGCGCGGTGTCCAGCTCGTGTCCGCGCGGCGGTGCTCCCTCAGGAGCATACCGGGATGCAGTGTCGCGCTTTCGGACGTCAGGTGGTCAATGTTGAATCAAGATCGTCATTGTCGGTGGCGTGGCCTCGTCGGCACACACCGTCAGTGCGCCTCAACTCTGTCTGTGTGATGCAGGGTGCCAGTGCCGCGCGCCGCCCCTCGCGCCGTTAACGACCCGTGACGCCGCCTTTGCGCCGCAGATCATGGTGTGGCATACGCAGACCAAGCAACCGAGGGTGCCGTTCTCCACCGTCAACCTGCAGAAGTACCGCAACACCAACCTGGAAGTACTGCGACACGTGGTCAATCCCAAGCCCAGGTGATAGTGGGCCGGGCACCGAGCTGGCGGCAGCGACGGGCGGTCTGACGGCGCCTGTCGTCGGACTGGTATGGTGTCAGGGTACGGGGCTTGTGCTCCGACTGGCGAAGGTCTGATGTTGATCAGGCCACGGATAGGGACGATCTGGGACGGCCACGGGCGATTGTCCCAGCACAGGGACACGGCCTGCCGTGGAGTGGACGTCATGCGGTGGCGCTGGGCGATCTGATGCCTCGCGTGTGGTCTGTGATTCAGTGGCAGATGGCCACGTCACTGGGCTGTGCGAACAGATAGGAGGCTTTCGGACTCGTCTTCATCGGCGTGATCCGACACGTGACGGACCGTCTTAGAACTAGCAGGAGCCCGCACTGCAGTGTGTTCGGACAGCCGTGTGCGGTGATATCCGAGAGTGTGATGCATTGGCTGGTTTTGTGTGCTTCTGCAGCACGGAATGGTCCAAATGGTATCAAGGCTGCCTTATGGATATTGTTCTTATTCTTACACGCTCCGTTTTGGTGCCTGAGTGTACATGTGCTATTCGTGTATTTAATAGAGATAAACATGTGTTTGCATTCTGTAAAACATCACAGTATGCCCTAGTATGAACTTGTTTTCCGTGTAATGCATCTTTCCTTATCCCTGTTCCCTCCTCCGGCGCAGTTCCTGGCGCTCCCCGCCGGCACCCGTGCGGCGACCGGCGCCTCCCGTCCGGCCCAGTGTCGCCATCCTGACCACTTCCGGCCCTCGTCCGAGTCGCCCCGGCACCGCCACCGTGCGGCGGACTTGGCTGCCCGCCCGGCCTGTGCTCCGGCCCGACCCCGCCGGACGCCGGACGAACACTTCGCGCGGCTCTCGGCGCCCCCTGGTGACCTGGCCCGGCTTCACGCGGATGAGGTCAGCCAGCCCTGGCAGCAGGACTGCCCCCGGACCGGCCCTGGCCCGGCCGGCGACGCCGGCTCAACCAAAACGGCGCCGGCGGCCGACGACGTCCCATTCTCAGCCGGACTTCTCAGCCGGCAGCGTCAGCTCTGTCTCGGCAGTGGAGACGGGCGTCGCCGCAGGCGTCAAACGCGCTCTCAGCGTCCTGCCGACGCCTCAGCTCGCGGCTGGCACCCGTGGCATTACGCCGCAGCGTGGAGCAGGCCCACCTGACGCGATCGGCGCCGTCTTGACGGACCTCACCGCAGTGCAGACCAGGCCGGAGGACAGCCTGAGCCACGGCTCTCCGCGGCCGTTGCAACAGCCGCAGGCGCCGGCGAGCGGACCGCCGACCGGGCTGGAGCCAACGACCGTGGATGAGATGACGGCCGGTGACAGGCCCGGAGCCACGTCGGTGCGGGCTGTGGACGGTAGCGGCTCCGACGACGGCCACTCCGCCCCACAGTTGCCTGCTGTGGCGTTAGCGCTCGCCCGCAGCACCTCCACACCCGGCGCGGTGCTGTTTGAAGATGAGATGTTCTAACGGCGCCGTGAACTGGTAGGCGCTGACAACGTGAAACTCTGCGGATTTAGCCGGAGAGGACAGGCTCGTCGTAGTCCGGGACACCTTAAAAACGACTGCGTCACGTGCACTAAAATGTGCAGGCTTAATTGCCTTGCGGTTGAATCAACATGATGTCTAGTTTTCGTTTGACCTTTGTAATGCTTAGTTGACGTCATGGTATCAGCGAAGAGGTTAAGTTTTTGTGACGTTTTGCTTTCATTTGGTCATGACAACGTTCAGCCGGCGTCATGTTATCAAGGTAGGCATTCATGGGTGCTGCATGGCCATTTGTATTTGACGTGTCCTTAAACTCCAACCCACCAACCACCAAGGAAAGCAGTCATAGCAGTAAATGGGCCCGCCGTCTACACCATCACTCGGCGCCATTTGCATTTGTCATTTGCTTTGCAGATGTCATCACGGACAGTTCCTGGAACCCTCAGTACTACGCGAGTATTTCGTGGCCTACGACACTAACTGATGTACAGCACCCAGCATCAAATAATTGTCCAGTATTGAGCCAGGCGGTTTGGCTCGCATATTGACCGTTGGGACCCCGCAGCTCAACACGCTGGTTTGGAATGCCACCTGCCGCTGGCTTGGCAGCGACTGTACGTGCTGTGGCACGGCGGTTTATGAACCGCCGTATGACGCGTGATGTTTGTGCCAGGACTCGGCTCTGGGAAGTGCTCAGCGGGTTGGCGGTGCAGTGTGCATCGCCCGTTCAAAGGTCGATGGCATCACTGAACGCAGGATTGTTCCGCTCAGACTGGCTACATACAATGAGCATCTCCGGCTATCTCTCAAGAATGGCTATTTTTGTCGCCGAAACTTTCTTCCAACCTGCAGTGATTACTTCGCTTCATGCGATGTGTTGGAGGTTCCGTCGCGGTTGGTGTGCTCATGCTTGAGCTCACGCCCGTGTTGATGTGTCATATAATAATAGCCCGTAGTTCCGTAGATGCATTCCCCTGGCGCAGACGGCAAACCGGCTTGACCAATACAGGCCACAAAGCAAGCAGCGGTGACTCTCGCACGCGCGACACCCCTCGACAGCAGTGGGAAGACTTATCACGTTTTCCCTGCTGCATTTCGAGGTTGGCGATCCGACGGTGATGTGAAGCGGTGGTTTGCCTGCCTGTTGTTGTCAGGTCCCCAGGGCCGCCGCCGCCGCCCGCGACTTTCGGAGGCGGGCAGGACTCGGAGGAGTGCAGGGGCCCAACCGGGGCGATCTCGCACCCGAGACGAATACTTGATGTTGGATCAGCAGACCGGACAGTCTCGCAAAAACTCGCAGGCCGGGTGGGCAGAGGGCGGTTTTTCCCCGACGGGAGACCTCAGGGTCGCATCGGCGCGGCCATGGAATGGAGGGGTCGCCGAGTCTAGAGGCATCGAAGTTAGCCTGTCCACCGTGTCAGCTGCGGCAGCCGTTCGGCCTCGTGGATCAGTGGCAGCGTGCTCCACTGGCAGTCTCCGCTGGCCAGAGGGCTGCCCTGAAGGTCCGGTTTGGTCTACAGTCTGGAGTGCGCTGTGCGGTGTTTGTTAGCAAACATGTGTTTTCCGGCATACAACAGCGCGTCCTTAGTCCTGCCTGCCTAGTGCGCTTTTATGTGTTAAGAGATGACGCTGAGTAAGCGTGCTCAGTCAACGTCTGCAGTATGCAATGGTTTCGGGTGCGTTGGTTGGTGAAAGCGCCGGAGATGACGGAGCTAATATGACAGATTTGTCGGAATCATTGGTTTTAACTCTACCTGTCGTTGGTTTACCGGACATGAAGTCCATGGGCATGCGAACTACAAATTCCAAGAATCGCCAATTCTTTAACAAAGTGGATTGTTGCCTGCTACGCTCTTTTTCCTTTTTTGTCTATCAGGTACCCGCGGCCACTCCTGGTTACGCACTACGCCAGATGCAGCTGTGTCCTCGTCCCCGTTGATAACACGAGCAGGCAGATTGGTTGTCTGGACACGCTCAAGCTCAGTCGCAGGGCGTGGGGGACAGCACACCTGTCGTTTTCACCGCGGGAGCTCCCATAAAGTCAGAGGAGGGGACATGACGTGTTAAGAACCATTTGGTTCGAGCAAAACCATGCGGCTAATGTTTCACCTTCTTGTATCATCAGGTAGAGGGGCAAACATTCCTCCGGGCTTCCACACCCTTGTCTCTGTGTGAATCCGATAACAGAACTGTTTGGGTGCGAAATAGGCTCGTGGTGTGGGCGGGTCCACCCTGGTCGCGCTAGATACCACGTAGATGCATCGATACCAAGTTAACAGCATCGCCGTACAAGACGGCGATAGCACACAGCTGTCATGTGGTCATGAGCCCGATCGTACCCATTTGCCGCACTCCTGATACACGACCCACTAGTAGTGTCCGCACATATCAGCACACCGGGGTACGTGCCCTCTCGTACCATGTTAATGATGTGCGGTCTTATGTTTGTAACGAGATTTTAGCGGTTAAAGTTTTTTGGTAGACACACATATAAGAGCAGCGAGAACGAGCGACGGTATTTGCGTCACGTAATATATTGCGCACGTCTGCGGTCCTCTCAACTCGGTTTTCGGATTTGAAACTGCACCCCATGTGTGAAATCCTGTGTGCCTCTGCTTTCCCTCTGCCAAATGTCTTCGCAATGGAGCGTAAGCTCCGGTCAACCAATGAAAAAGGCACTCCTGTTTCTCTTTCGCGTGCAGCAGCAGACCCAACGAACGGTTTCTCCCCAGATTTGGCCCATTTTTCTTGCAAAATTAGGAGGCTAGAGCTGAAGTTGGGCATGAGCAGGACACTATAACCCCGCATGTGACCGCCTCTAGCCACGTATGGCAAGATCAGCGATCAGCGAAACTGTACAGCACGTTGAAAGACAATTTTGCGACTCAAGCAGGCCGTACCGGGTCGCTTCACAGCCAAATATGTGTGCTGGTGGTCACAATGCCGTTGGGACATTGTGTTATAATACTGTGCGTCGCTTGGTGCCAGCCCCGACAACGCCCTGAGTGACTTGGAGAGGACCTGCTTTCGTACCATGCTCCTTGCCAGGAGATATCAATGCAACATTTCACAAATCTGAATTGCCATTGCAAGCAAAGCCTGGTCGGATGGCGTGCAGCAAGTACGCTGTTGGAACTGGACGATTCCATTACGAATATTTCAAGCCCGAATGGAGACTGCGGACCTTGGGAAGGGGCTGACACGAAGCCGTTAGGGTAAAACGATCCCAGAAATAAACAACTAAAACCGCCACCTGCCTGAATCCTCCAGCGCGTTTCTGAAGATCACTAACTCTTGTTTTGCCGTCTTAACATTTATTTTGTTTGAGTTAAGCCTGCCGTGCGCTCTGCCTTTATGGCCGCTTGGAAAAGTCGTCATCAAGTGCGGGGTAGAGACCTTTGTCTCGTATCAGTTTCCCGCTTATCACTTATGGCAAGCCGGCCAACATCTGTACGCTATTTTTGCTATGATTAGAGCTTGGATTGCAGCCGGTAACGGAGCGTTGGCGCGCCCTACCCCGGTCGCACCTCCTCCCCTACCTGTTTCGATCTGCAGGGAGTCTGTCGCACGTGGTGAGCTCACATGCACACGCAGCTGCACTCGCTAGCGGACCTGTCATTTGCTCGGGCCGCTGACGCTTGATCGATTCGTTCGTCGATCCTTGTCATCGCGGGGCTCGTCTTCGCCCCGTATTGGCGCTTCTTGCGCCATCGATCCTTGAATGACCCCACCCCACACAGGACAACGCCGCAGACACGGGGAGGGTCGTCGCACGCCGTCCCCACACCTGATGGCGCCACGCTAGTAGTGTGACGTGGACGAGTAGCCCTGGCGGTCTGGGGTGGGACCGAGAAGTAGGGGGACGATGGGGTAACTGCTAAATGCAGCTACACGTTACGCACTGTGCAGAGGAGCTTAACGTTTGGTTTGATTTCTGGTAGGGAGGAACAAACATCCTTTCCAAATGTTTGGTATCTTCACTTAAATACGACATAACGTTGCTCTATGTTTCCCGCGCTTTACACTTTTATGGCTTAATGCCGGCCGGGACACTCACGAATTTCCGGTTGTGTTCACGAAAGTAGGACTTCGGACTGAAGAGAAAGATCCTGGTTGCAGGGCAGCAAAGGAGATTCATCGTGTTTTGCTGCGTATGTTGGGTAATTCGTCCAGCCTGTTCGTAGAAAGTCGTTGTACTTTATCCTGAATATCACAAGGTATATCGCATTGCAAGTCTATTTTCACCCTGTATTGCCTTCACGCAATGTCGTTTTCAGCATAAATTCAATGCAGACATTTGCCCCGTTCCAAGTGTTGGTTCCTGGTCCCTATTTTCCGCCATGAAAATGGGATCTAGGACCCTAGTTCCGGCTGGTGCTTTCCTTAACGCCAGTCTCTGTTTACTTTGCAAACACCAAACACCAACCAGGTTCTTGGCTTCCATCGGCTTTCCTAGGCCGAACTTTCTGATTTCCAATGGCTTACTCATAAAAAGCCATATCCCAATTCTTGCTTCTCGCTGGTCCTTTGACCCTAACATACAGGGACCTAACGTGGTACTTAATCTGAAATGCGCGAAGACTACAGCGCCCTGTTTTTTGTTTGTTTTTTATGAATGACACTCATCGTCTTTCGCCATGTCTGTCGTGAAATTGTCATGTGTAAACGTCACTCCAGCGTGTGTGAAGTTAATATACAGTTTGATTTTCACATTTGGCGTCGAACGAAAACCCCTTTTTTCATACTTGGCGGAAATCGGCGACCCCCTCGATTTCAAAGGGAGCATGCCAGCTTTTTTACTTTCTAGTTATTGTGGGATCACAAGCGTACGAGCTGATCAGTAATATTGGTTTTCTCCAAATTCTTCTGAATAGCTCAGATTTTATACTTGAAGTAGCCACTCTTGCGGCAGGAATCTCATTGGTATCCATACTCACCACTCTGAAAGCAACGCATTTAATTCGTCATGCTGTATCGAACCTGCGTATTCTGTAATGTTTGCAATACACTAATGTGCCAAAATGTTTATGTAACAAATGACAAGAAGGCTTGAAGCACATTATGCCGTCAATCCAACCAAACATACTATGGCTTTGATTTCTCCCTCATGGTGTTTACGACAGCGGCTGTTTTCGGAGCGCACCTTGGCTTTTGGAAACGGAGTAACACATGGTCTATAGTGACGCACATGTTCAAACTTCAACGCTTTTGAGTTACAGGCATTTGCCGTCCGCTGTGCCGATCACAGACGTTCGTTGGTACTGACGTCATTCAGTGACAGATGGCCCCCAGCAGATTCTGCCGGCGTCATGCCGATGGCTGTTGCGACTGGAGGGAAGAAACGTGGTGCTGTTACAAGCCGTTGCCAGCGCAATTTGGACTCTAAAATGATTGGAATTGATTGCCTTACTGTGTCTTGGTGATGCTGCAGTGCCACCACTCAGTGTTATTCTTGGAAGCAACCACTCCTCAGGTTTCACTAGCGTATGTTTTTGAAATATGCTCCGAAGATGGCAAACTGCTTGAAACGAAACTTGTAAATGATAGCCCATGGTGCACTAAAAACTGGCGTAAAGGCATTTGTGGGGCGTCAAGCGGTTTGACCCATAAGTGACCGTAAATAGTCAAACGCAATATCTCGACAGACATGATACAAGCTGAACACTATTCGAACCGAAATATTACGCAGATTCTGGGAAGTCCCTCAAAACGGTCCGCACCAAAGTTGGCTGAAATATTCTATTACAATATAAGAAGCTATAAAAAGCGTTTAGAGCTCAGTTTTAGTGCTCACATGCAGGCTAACCGATTTATGAACTTAATGTCTGTACTATTTTAATTTTTGAGGCCTCAGGGGTTACACTGACCCCCACCCGGGCGAAGCGTATTTAACTGGCCACCAGGGCGCACGTTAATGTCCTATGGCTCTAAGATATAGCAATTGTACCCGATAGCTCAACTGATAAGAGCGTCGTCATTGCAATCCCCCATCGATGGCGAGGGGGGGGGGGGAGTGGGATGTGCGTGTTCGAATTGCTTCAAGCACTCACTATTTTTCCGCGACAGGTATGGCCTGCGGCCGGTGAGAAGGGCCGCGCTATAGGTCAGATGATGTCAGAGGAGGCGGACCGTGCCGAGCATGAGGGCTCGTTAAGCTTTCGCCACCAAATTCTGCCGTTGATCTAGAATTGCATGATCGGATGGTAGGGGTCAGATCACACACAACAAGCACGGCTTGGTATGAGCTCTTAGCTTAGAAATCCATTTATTCAAATGGTTTGGCTGAAATGTTCGAAGGGAATGTTCTACATTTGAAGATATTGAGATAAGCAAGATACATGATGGGGAAAGCTTACTTGTAACTCTTGGTAAGCTTTCAAAGGTTAAAAACGACCCTAAGTAGCAAAATTTTAAAACACGATATGCTGTGAAGACTGTCATGTGGGGTCATGAATCTCGTACCGAAACCTGCCAAGGACTGTTGAGGATGTCAATACTGTATTGTCGACTTACCCTTGCCTGCAGTGCTGTAGTCATGACATTGATATCATGTGATGTGTACAGTAGTTATTTTATTTATTATTTGTGGCTGGAAATGCAGTTTTATGCAAAAATAAATACACCCGTAATATAGCTATGAGTTGATTGCCAAAGCTTTGTTATTTGTATGGTAAAGATGGCAGGGTTGAGCTACCAAGGTTTTTCTTGCTTAGGATTATTTAGGTAATTACTAGTTAACCGTGGCGCAACAGCATTCTCGCTGGTGATAGTCCTTTGGTGCTGTTAAGTCAGTTGTTACCAGTCATTCATATATTATCAGATGTTGTCTCATAGGCTTGACATAGAGTAGTCAACCAATGTGGTACATTGTGTAATGGCACGGACCAACAGCGCCATCGTGGCACTACCTCAGTGCTGAACTGTGGCATGGCATGATGAACAATGATATGGTTTTTGTACAGCAATTCCTGCGGCTTTCATAATAAATTCCGTCATGAAAAGATGGGTCAAGCATGCATTCTTGTGCTTTCTCCGCATCAGACATATGACTGACCAAAAACACATGATACAATATACAAGTCACTTTCAGCAAAGCATTCAACATATAAGTGACATCACTTGCTCAGTGTGTTTTGCGAATCCACAAAACATAGGTGACAAATATGCAAACACGTCTTGCGCTTCCACAGCCATGCAACGTCCTGCAGCCATCAGGCTGCTTCACTTCAAAATATTATTCACACAACACAATAACACATGTATAAGAATAAAATATTACATGCAATAAAATGACACTACGAACCTGCTGACCTTGCACAACGCTGGAGACATGACAAGTGTATGTAGTTATGGTAAGATGGACGAAATGCAAGGAAGTGATGAAGCTGCTAGTGCACACAAGGGTGACGATAAAAAACATTATTAAGTGCCATCCAAGAATCCAAGAAGCGAGCAACAATTTTTCTCCACCTTTCTCAGCACCCAGCATCTCACACAAGTTGCAGTGACTATGACAATGATGACTTATAAGCAATGCTTGCCTGCGTACAAAATTTGCTAAGACAGTCATATGTGCATCCATAATAATACAACACTATATTTCCAGAATTTTTGAGTGAAAGACAATTTTGCAAAACTGCATCATGCGAACTTATGCCCAGCATGTGCATCAATAAGCTGTGCTGACCTGTCCCTACTGCCCAAATGAATTGCTAATGTAATGGCATGCAATGGATTAATGACATGCTGTAACTCCTCAGTAGGTTCAGAATGTCGGCGAGATCATAATGAAGCGGCAAATTGCTTTTAAACACCCCTGCAGCATGGGTGCTAGTGTTTCTTTCAGTTTGCCGACATCGTCACCTTGTCATGTTCAAACTGAAACCTAAAGATGGAGGCAGGTATCAATGCATGACATTTTATTGGGAGTCATTAAATTTAAAGAATACCAAAACATTGTTTTCTCTCGGAAGTACAAACCTCGAACGTACACTCCACGTCGCACAAGATCAATGCAAGCCAGTGGCACGCACCACCTGTGATCGCACCCACTTCAAGCTCTTGATTCACACTCTGTCAAATAAGTGTGATCCCGCAATAACACAACCCGCGGGATTATCAAATTGCAGGTTATCTCGCAATGCCCGCGCAGGTTTTCGGTTATAACACCGCGTTTCACCGTGAGCCACCTTCAAAACCAGGTCGCAACGGGGGTTCATGGTAATACAACTCAAGAGATTGTACTTGAAGAACACGTTTTTTTACTCAAGATTCATATTTTCCTAGAATATGTGTTCAATATTTAGTAATATATACACTCGTAAATACATATATATAT